TATATATATATATATATATATATATATATATATATATATATATATATATATATATATATATATATATATATATATATATATATATATATATATATATATATATATATATATATATTGGTCTTTGTACAATTTATTACTATATTTTAACATTTCTGAGTTGGATATAAAAGGGGAAATATATAATTTTGTTTTGTATTTATTATTTCAGCTGGTAGTCTGTCCACCCACACTTATTTTAAATGTCCAGTTATTTCAATTCCCATCATAATATTGTTTCCGATTTGCCACAATTTCAACAGCTTGCGGGAAATACGTCTTGCAGAATTTGTCTCGTCACTGGTAAAATATTGCACGATTTTGATAAATATTACAATGTAAAATGTCCAAAACAAACTGATCATAAACCATATGGCGGAGGAGGAGGTTGTCGTCTGGGACCTAATGTATCATATGATGTGTTGGGGTCACGGCCGGGAGGGAATATTTAGTGAATTATTTTCTTTATTCGTATTCATTTTTAAACTCATAATTTTATCTTCAATGAATTATACAAATAACAAGACTGGATTTAGTGAGGCTAATAATAAACGGAACATGAATAATATTTATAATTAAAACACGAACCAGTAATACTAGTTGTATTTCTTTTTATTTATTTTATATATTTTTTGTCATTTACATTGTATATATTTACAAAGTGTGGTTATATTTGAGATTGCTCCCTAGACTTACACAAATGCTCCATAAAGAGAGGGAAATAATCGGTTAAGGTGGGACGGCAGACGACGGACCGCCATATTTGTTTTTCCACCACTCACAGAACTTCTCCAAATATGACTAATTTCTGACAATTTCTACCTGGTCATATAGGTCAAGTGTCAGATAAATGGCTTACAGACATGACACAATAATCTCCCAGCCACTAATTAGGAAACTGCCTGAGGAAATCTAATTAGGCCGTGTTGGTCTCTCGCGTTCAAATTTCAGTGGGAAATGGTTCTTGTTTTAAAGTTACGACCATGAGCAGTTTTACGATGTACATTTTCTTCTCTTGCTATTTTAAGTTTAACTGTCGCTAGTTTTGTTTTTAGTTGTATTTCTATTTGTATGATTAGTTTTAACGTATTTCCATTATTATACTCATTTATTATTATTATTGTTATCATTACTCTTATTATTATTATCATCCATTTATCCATTTAGTTACACTTTCCTAGGTTGAATTATATTATCATCATTTAAGAGTCTATTACCGTAAACGTGCATAGTAATCTGTACGACACTAAAGGGGGGGAGGGTAGAGAGAGAGCAAGAGCGGAAGGGATAAAGGGAGAGAGGAGGGGGATAAAGGTAGAGAGAGAAAGAGATGAGTAATGGCTGTTGTCATTGCTTGATTCAAACTGCCATCCACCCTCACCTTACCTCCAACACTCCCCTTCACCTCTCCCCTTACTGTGCTCAGATCACCCCTTACCCCTGCATTACTTCCCTGACCGTCACACACGCACACACACACACTTCCGCACACTTGCGTCGAGATGTCTGCCACCCCCAAGCTTCCTACGTCACTCTTCACCCCTTCCTCCCCCTTCTCCCTCCGCTTCCTCTCCCCTCCCCTCCCCTCACACACACACACACACACACACACCTGTACGCACACACCTTTGTCCTCACACAGCGCCACACCTGCCTCGGCTTTCCCACCCCAAACTACGGCTACACCCAGACTGAGAAAGGTGTCGTGTGTATTCTGAAGCGTGGAGGAGAGTGTATAGTGAAAGCAAGGAGAAAGAAAAGAGAACAAAGAATAAAGCAGAGAAATGTGGCAGAGAAATTTGTGTGTGTGTGTGAGATAATAACTGCGAGGAGAGACTGACAACAGCACGGTGCAGAAGGAAGGCCCCCCAACTAAACCAGGATTGAGAACTCTCACTGGAAATCATTGTTGTCCTTTTGTCACGTTACTCCAGAAGACCTGGAAATATTAAGTCCGTTCATCTGTCAGTGTCTTGTGTACATTATAAAAGTCTTGATTTGTTTTTTTAACAAATTACTGTTTAATAATTGGGCCGTTTGGATGCCTTCCACAATTTGTATTTAACCTCCTCATTTTGGGAACCACTTATTCATTTTCCATCTCCCTATCAGACTTTCATCAAGAACGCGTTAAAACTTAAACAGATATTGGGTGTGTGAATACGAGCCAACAAAATATCGAGCAAGTTTGATAAGTTAGTTGATTAATCAGTATACGAGTATAAACTAACAAAATCCCACACGAGTTCGAAAATTATCAATATTTCCCCATCATTGTTTTGTGCATTTGCGACCACTTGTGCTCAGTGTTTTCCTCAGCCGGGTACCTGGATCCACTGAATAATGTTACGGGTTCTGGATCCACTGAATAATGTTACGGGTTCTGGATCCACTGAATAATGTTACGGGTTCTGGATCCACTGAATAATGTTACGGGTTCTGGATCCACTGAATAATGTTACGGGTTCTGGATCCACTGAATAATGTTACGGGTACCTGAAACCACTGAATAATGTTACGGGTACCTGAAGCCACTGAATAATGTTACGGGTTCTGGATCCACTGAATAATGTTACGGGTACCTGAAACCACTGAATAATGTTACGGGTACCTGAAGCCACTGAATAATGTTATAGGTACCTGGAGCTACTGAATAATGTTACGGGTACCTGAAGCCACTGAATAATGTTACGGGTACCTGAAGCCACTGAATAATGTTATAGGTACCTGGAGCTACTGAATAATGTTACGGGTACCTGAAGCCACTGAATAATGTTATAGGTACCTGGAGCTACTGAATCATGTTATGGGTACCTGGAGCCGCGGGATTTTGTTGCAAGTGTAAGTCAAGATGTATCCCGCTTTTATTATAACTATATACAGGTTTATACTTGCTGTGACTTCCAAAGATCCTCGATATTGTTTTTCTTTTTTGTAGTACGATTTTTTACTGAAGGAATGGTTGTGGAAATGCGGGAATCTGAGAGAGAGAGAGAGAGAGAGAGAGAGAGAGAGAGAGAGAGAGAGGCTGCGAGAGGGAAGGTGAGATTAGAGGAATCTAATAAAAGAATGAAGTTTAAACAAAGAAATTATCAGTAGCGGAATAAAATAATGTATGTCAAAATGTCCAAGGAAAATACGACTGGCGGCGGTTGGCGGTACTTGCGTGGGCTTCAACGGGGCCATACTAGTGGATGTGGCGCTCAGTCCAGACAACTTAAAGGCTCCTACGATGATTATTACTCGTAGCTGGAGATGTTAGAGTGTACCTTACGGTTTACTGGTTGACCTAAAGGTAAAAACCATAGAAATAACGTCTAAAAATAGAACAAAACTGCCTTAGATATGTTCATTATGCCAAAGTTAACGTGAGGCTATCCAAAGATTCTCAGATCTAATTGCCACCTAAAACTTTTATAAGATGATTAGATGAATGTGTAGGAAATTTACTTCCGGTATAACTTTTAAGCTATATATATATATATATATATATATATATATATATATATATATATATATATATATATTTATTTATATATATTTATATTTGTGTGTGTATGTATGTATCCAGCACATAATGGCGGCGCAGTCCCTGGTTGTAATAGGGTACGGTAAAGTGCGGTGAACCACAAAGTATCGTACAGCAGCCAGTGAGAGTGAAGGATAGGTGCTTTGACGTACACGGTCCTTCATCGTCCACGATTCCACAACTTACGCGGTCCTTTAACGTACAGTCGTACACGACTCTAGCTAAAGTGATTTTATAGCATACACGGTGCTTCAACGACAACGTACACGGTGCTTCAATGACAACGTACACGGTGCTTCAACGACAACGTACACGGTGCTTCAATGACAACGTACACTGCTTCAACGTAAACGGTACTTCAGAGTACACGGTCTTAAAACGTGCAGGGGCTGTGGAACCTTAGCTTGCAATGGCTGAGTTACACTAGTTTCATGTAGGAAGTGCACAACGTTACATACTGTACCTTGAGATTCTTGCTCATAATGACTTAAAACTCACAACTATGAAGTCTGCAGAAATTGGTATTGTTCATGGAAGATGTTTAAACTGTAATGTATTACAATCTTAAAGCGCGTAATCTAGGTTAATAAATGAACGAGTTCTCAATGTTTAAATATTTAAGTGATACATTCACCCAGAAATCCTTCGATAAACATAGTTTCACATTCTTTGATGTTGACTAGTTCTTCCGATACAAAGCTTCGCTGGCCAGGAGATGACAAGGATACGTACCTCCTTGTTCACTCACGGTTTCCGGACATGACATTCTCTCTACTACACGGTATTGACAGTGGCCTTTGTTATTTGTGTTTCCTGAATCCTTGAGAATGTTACCTATTCAAAAGTTCAGTAAATATTCCATTTATTTTTACGTAACTTTTTCGTCAACTTTGCTGTGAAGTTACAGTCGATCATTATATATATATATATATATATATATATATATATATATATATATATATATATATATATATATATATATATATATATATATATATATTAACAATACCGCTTGTTAAACTTAGTAAACTGTTAAATCATATATGGTTAAAAAATACAGTAAATGTGAAGATAATGACTATTTGGCGATGTCTTAGAGGTGTGTGTGTTCCTCAGGGGACCACCAGGCTTCAACACTGTGTAGAACTAAGGAATAGAATTCACCTATAATTTGTAGACAGTACAGCTTAATTATCAGTTTTCAACACTTACTATAGAATTGGTGTTAAATGTTGGAAAAATTGTCTTGTAAACTCTACAAGGCTGTGAGAGGTTTTAAGTTGTACGGGTGACTGTAATTTGTCCAGTAAATACAGCCCGATAACTGCGCCCAAGATGCCGATATTTATTTAATTTATTTCCTTCTCTCTCTTTCCTTCATCATATGTTTTATTATAATTGTTGTATAAGTCATAACACACTTCTCTCTCTACAGACACCGAGTGTAAGGCAGCGATCGAGGACAACACGTCAACGGAGGAGCCACATATTACCAGCGCTCTCACCTCCACTACCTCTGCCATCAACACCTCCACTACCTCCTCCTCCACCACAGACAGCCACCACAACCCCAACAGCAGTGGAGGCGGTCAGCAGGATGGGGTGGAGGGACAGGAGGTGAGCACTATAGAACCCAAGAAGCCCTTGCCCATGGCCTTCACCATCGAGTTGGGTGACGCACCGGGTGGCGGCGGCGGCGGCGTTGCCGACCTCAGCGTAGCCAAGAAGTTGGACATAACCGCCTCTATCAGCAAGTGGGCTCCCAAACACAGACGTAACCTGAGTCTGACCAAAGTCGAAGAACACAAGGTGAGTCCTGGTGGGTGTTTTTGGTGACCCAGGTTGAGGTCCCTGTTATATTGTAAGTGCTCAGACCGTATGAACTGGAGTATCACGGGTTAGGGTCAGCTTTAGTGACCTTGGTAAAGAACGCTTAAAGGCCACCTTGAATGACCCGTGTGTCAGCATAAGTGACCTGTATATGGTAGGTCAGCCGTGATGAACCATGGCTGGAAATACTTGGAAAACACATTGAAAGGTCAACCTGACCTTCAGTTGTTTTTGCTAATAAAGTTCCCTAAAAGAGCAGACACCCTCAACTGTCGCTTCACTTGAGTGTGTTGGTCATCTGGAGTTGTCAGGTCAAAGGTCAACCATGAGAACAGGTCATAGGAGGGTCACGATGACAACCAGTAACTCTCAAAGAAACGTAAAATATTTTTGTATTTAGTGTAGTATGGTTCGTGTCGTTTGATTACAGCTCCGTTCTTAGGTGAGAGCATTGATGTGACAGTTCATTTACCAGTTATATTTCAATTAACTGTGATAGAGGGATTATGTTCAGAGCTGCAACTGTTAATTTACCAATTATATTCTAATTTCCTGTGAACTGTTATAGGGGCAGTGTTTAGATAGTGTAACTGCTTTTCACCCAATATGTCCCAAGTAACTGGTGTGTAGGGGCAGTGTTCAGGGAATTATAACTGTATTTCTAACACACGAACACTTTTACTAACTAAAAAGCTCAACTAACACAGTCTACTAACATTTTTCTCCGACACTGTGCAGGTGGTGGAGAATTTCTTTGACGAGAATGGCAACTCACGGGCCAAGCGACGCAGCACCATCAGTCGCCTTGATGTGAGCCACCACTAACTCTCTCTCTCTCTCTCGCTTTATTTACGGGTCCTCCTGTAGGACGAAAACCACCTAAACGAACTTAACCATAGTTAACGTAGACCCGTATATTTTTGTTTTTGCATTTAGTTCTTGTTTTTTCTCATTAAAATCTTACGATTGAAAATCGTGAAAATATTCCCAATAAGAGAATTTTACTGTTATTTTTATTTATTAATTTTATCTTCTTATATCCACTCGGGAAAATTAAACCTTTAATGTGAAACATTAAGTGAGAAAATAATAAGTATATCCTTTAAAAAATACAAACACGATTTTTTCAAGGTTAATTGGAGCTGTTATTATTGCTTAAGTTCATTTATGTGGTTTTCGCATTTTAGGAGTTTTTGTTGTTTTTATCCTTTGTTTACCTCCAGCGTACATGCTGTCCTCTCAAAGTTGACGTGTGAGCTGCGACGCACCACTATGGGGGCCTCTGATAGCAACTTTTAATATGTACCGTACAGTTTGCTGTTAGTATATGGGTTACGGAGTCCCTTTATGGGTTTAGTGAGTGTGGCGCTAAACTGTTGTCTGGGCGTGTGTGTATGTGTACAGGAGACAGACTATAACATCTGTACACGCATAAGTTCTTAATTTACACGCACAGAGTCCACTATTAACGTCCCGTATACACACCCAGGCTTAAAAATAGCACCCTGCCGCCTCTGAACTGCTAAAGTGACCCCTTAATACTCAGACTATAACCTGTCTTCCCTATACTACGACGCAACACAGTTCAACCCGGGTGAGTGTGTGTGTGTGTGTTGGTCAAGTTATAACTCTGGACATACTGCTCAAATCACCGCAACTTTGAGATCTCTCTGTGTTGTTTAACTTCTCTGTTGCTTCTTCGTCACTTTTTAATTTAATAATATCTAGTTATATTAAGCGTATTAAAAATTAAGTTTTTTGTCGTAGCTTGATTCAATTTTGTTTTTATTATATTTTCCCTAAATTTATTTGGTTGGAATATTTCGATTTGTAATGCGTAACAATGTTTAAACAGATTGATGTGAGATTGTCCACATTTTGATTTAATCACTTAAGAATATTATCTGATCTATACATACTTTCCTTTGCATGTTAGTGTTACAGTTATCCCCAGCCAGGATTCGAGCCTTGGCTGGGCCTGGTTGTAACATTATCCAATATTTTGATGATAGAAAAATATTCGACTTAAGAGTGCTTTGAAATGTAATGCTTGTAGACACTGATAGCCTCATTTGTGTTAAGAGAATTCGTTTTTTTATGGTTTAGTTTTTTATCTTTAAATATGGCAGTCATTTATTTAGAGCCTGTGTGTGCAGTGGGGGGTAAGCTACTGTTGCCGTTTACAGTTGTAGACAAAATTTCACGGACGATTTTGTCATTATCTGACAACGGTTACGTACAGGATTACGATCACCTGAAGAATCTCCACCCCAGCTTATTTCACCTAAAGATTAACCTCCCTAACGCTAATCTAACCTAACTTATCCTTATCCTCCCAAATAGCGTTAGGATGGTTAATCTTTAGGTGATTCTTTAGGTATTCCAAGGCTAACACCCTAACTGAGATTGTGTTAAAGAGTGCCCGAAGAGTCTCCAGTCTGAGTTAAATGACACAGTTCTTCAAGTTAGTTTCATAGTCTCAGATGACTGTCAAATGGGGCCTGGTCCTACTAGGCTTCACAAGTATACCAATTTACTAGGCAGGGGCGGATCCTGGGGGTCCGGACCCTCCCTTTTCATCAGAAATTCCAATCCCTTTTAATGCAGTATTGTACTCAGGCATTTTTGTATAGTAAAGAGTAATTACTATTGACCTCAGAATATCTCTAATATCAAGTGCACATGGCTTAAAAATTCCCATATTGGTCAGCGACCCCCCAACCCCCCAGCTGGATAGGCTCACCATGTTCCTACAACTTCTTGGATCCGCCCCAGTTAGGATTGGGTTTCAGTCTTTTTAGTTAGTTGACAGCCCCAATGGTTCCAAGTGCTATTGGGTCCCAATCCTAGTCTTTAAGCAATGGGATTCCTTTTGATCTCGATAAAGTTCCTCTCCGGCGGAGTAATACATAACTTGAAGCTCGCTGGTCAACATTCACAAACTCACTCTGGTAAATGATTTTAAAATGTGGCTTTACTATATTTGGTGTATATATATGTGTGTGTGTGTGTGTGTGTGTGTGTGTGGTCATTAGTTGCGTTTTCCATTTTGTTTGTTTATTATAGTGACCCTGCGTTTGACGGGAAAACAAAGTAAATAAAAGGTTTAGATTTTAGTAAATATCTCTTTGCATGTCATTGCGTGTTTTTGCTTTATATATATATATATATATATATATATATATATATATATATATATATATATATATATATATATATATATATATATATATATATATATATATATTGTATAGTATAGTTTATTCCTAAACTGCATGCTTGTGTTCTAACCTTAATCCCAATATTTATAGTAAAATAAATTTCTTGATCCGTCTATGTACATTTCCCCCGCCCATTGATAGCGTTGTCAATTATCTTTTATTGTATATTTCGCACATCTAATGTTGGAAAGTCTTTGCTGTGTCTCTTTACACGGTGTTGTATTTATGTACTGCCTCACTAAAATGTATCAAGGGGTTTTCACCCCTATTAACAGTGTTTCCAATTCTGCTGCGCCCCATTGGCAGTCTTCTCATGTCTTTTTCTGTGCCTGTTTAGTCTTAGTTTTACCTAAATACAATAAACAGCCTTTCCTCCTGCTTGTGTTAAACAATGTTGCCAGAAATCTTTGTCGTGAGTGAAGTCAGGTAAGAAAGTCTTCTCTTCCCACCTGTAGTAGCACTGTTCACTGAGGTCTTTTAATCAGGTATGTCTTTATCACTATTATCGGTGTAGTCAGGTATCTGTACCCCTTATCTACGGTGACTGGCTCTTGGAGTCTTGAGAAGGAGAGGTAATCAATCTGGCAATACTGTGTCAGTGTTTACATTTTACACAATCAGCTGATACATTGCGAACACACCGAGATTGTTTTCTGTTATCTCCAGGGGAAAGATGTCTCATATACTTGTTTTTATTGTCATATATATGAAAAACCAAGTACAACGGGGGCATGAAACGACTTGTTCAATTTTATTTTTTATTTTTATGGACACATAACGCTGCGACAATTATACACCGGCATTTTTTTGTGTTTATAGTGCGTTATAAATATCTGAGTTCATACCCAACGCAACAGGTTCCTCTTGAGAGATGAGAACGATAGTGATTCCCCCTTCTCTCTCTCTTAGACCCGTTAGGAGTCATCACAGGTAACATTACCCGCTATCGTCTCTCGTTAGCTTTCATTTACGAGCCATCGCTACTGTATCTTTTGTCAGCCGTCATCCAGGAAACCGCACTAGCCCTCTCGATAGCTGTCACCCAGGTGGCATCTCTACAGAAGTTTTGGTAAGATTCCCTCCTAATTGGTTAACATGTCTAGTTAAGCCCGTAGTCTAAGGTTCATTTATGGTTTTCGATGTTGTGTAAATAATGTAATGGATATTCATCATGTCAGCCTTGAGAATTCAGGCTTATATTCGTGTGTTTATAAATACGAATCGATGTAAAAACTTATAATTCAGAAACTGCATAAGACTGTGGTCTTAGGTTAGGCCAAATATTTTAGATATATTCGCAAGGTTGTAGTTGCCGAGAGAAAACGTGTGAGCTGTGTGGCGTGGAGAGGAATAACATTGCTCACCGAGGCAGCCATGTCACTCGAACGACTAAATAGAAGTACTGTATTCCGTTCAGATGGCAGACACGTCAGCTCAACCTAGCGGACAGGAAGTGGGCGGAGATGATGCCCTCTGGGCTTGAGAGGTCGATGATAGGGATTAAAAAGTGTGAGAGAGAGGATCGGAATGACGAGCACACAGCTGTATTGGTTCAAATTATCGAGGATGTCTGTCATGTACAGCGAACCTTATTCCTCATTTACATGCCAACATAGTGCGATTCTCGCATTTAAGATGACACTGGCAGAAACTGGTTATGTGATCAGTCATGCACCCATACGTGAGCACCCATAAAGCATTATTGAGCGAACTTGTTTAACCTGCGGAATGTTGTTGCGTGACTCGATGGGTGTGAGGCGGCCGGGAGGGGAGGGGTGGCCGGGGTTGGTTGGACCTGATTGTGGGAGGGGAGGGGAGGGGCGGGGCGGTAGTGAAGATGAGTCATTACACGTACTTCTTGCCACGAGGAGATTCCTTGCTAATGTCATATTTTGTTTTATGTCGGAGTCCTGGGCAATGAGTACGTCTCGGTAATGTGAGAGGCAGGTAAGACGAGGAAAAATATATGCAGGTAACCGAAATATATTTTAAACCTTGGAGGACGGTGGTTATAAACTATAGCATTATTATTTTATTTTACTTTTTATTATAAATTTTATTTACTATGAATAATTATTACATTTTCGCCCCCAGGCCCTGATGTGGGTCAGTGACCTGTGCCCGGGTGGGCAAATCCCCCCCCCCCCCCAAAAAAAAAAATTCACCTAGAGTTTTAACCATCGTCCTCAGAGGATTAAACCATGGTCTTGAATTACATTATACCATCTCCTGAAAGTGTTAAACTCGTCCTCCTTAGTAGTGTGTGTGTGTGTTACACACAAAGAACGACACAGTATGCAGGAATTTTAATGGTGGTGGGGAAGGTGTATACTTGTGATAATGGCCCATGTTACTCTTATTAATATTTAACTACAACATAACACACGGGGCTACTGGCGATGGTGGTTGTGGCGTTGGTGTTGATCGTGGTTGGGGTATACATGTCTGGTGATGGAAGTGGTGATTGATGGTGATGGTAGTGGTGCTAATGATGGTGGTAGTGGTGCTGATGATGGTGGTAGTGGTGCTGATGATGATGGTAGTAGTGGTGATGGTAATAGTAGTAGTAATGATGGTAATAGTATAAAT